TCCAGCACCGCCCGGCTATAGAATGAAAAGCAGTTTGTTTTTTTGTTTTGTTTTTGTTTGTTTTTTGTTTTTTTGTTTTTGTTTTTGTTTTTGTTTTTTTTGCTTTTTGTTTTCTACATTGTTCTTTCGTTACAAAATCCAAAGTTATAAACCAAAAGTGGAGGTGCTACCTCTGTAAAGTAGGGCTACTAGGACACCTCCAGCACCGCCCGGCTATAGAATGAAAAGCAGTTAGAGAGCTGAAGGAAATTAGACTAGATAAAGAAACCCACGGTGGAGGGCACCACAACAATGGCATGTTGTTTTTTTTCTTCTTTTTTACATAAGAATCCTCTCAAATAGTTATGCTGCATTTTCCTARCAGGTACTTACGTATATTTTGGAGTGAGATTTACCGCCATAGTAGAATCCAAGTAAGGGACGTAATCGCACTGTTCTTGTAAAGAATATCAGTCGTCCCTGAATTAGTGTCGGATCAATGACTCTATTTTCTAAAAAAAAATCATTGATCAGATTTATCGCAAAATGAATGGGCTTAGGAAAGAGCGTAATAAGAGTCAGACACTCCTCACTTTTTCGTATGAATTTTTTTCATTTTCCATTACACGAAAGGTCGAAAATGTTTAAATTATTTTTTTCCATGTCACCATACAGTTTTTCCTCACTCCACTAATCAATTTATCAATACGGATACATACAAATAAACGTAATTCAAAATTGTCAATTGATCGTGGAAAACAAAGAGGCACTTGGCCCTTACCTTGCCTCTCTACTCACATGTGAGACTGTCTTCCTTGAATGRAGGGTTTTTCTCCCTCCACAAAACYTKACATGCTAACATGCTACATTCCAATTTGATCTTAGAGTTAGACGTGCCTTAATTTTCATTAGCGCGGAAGTCGTTTTAGGGTATTAATAAATTATATCAGCCGTCAAGACTGCATTATGATTACAATTATTAAGAGAGAAAATATAATAACTATGATTAGTAAAAATACGCAGGTGATTATAGAAAATCTCGCGCGCTGATTGGTCAAGAAACTCACACTATCACACGATAATCACCTCGAGCGAAAATCCAAAATGGCGGCTAGCCGCTTTGTTGCTGTTACCGGGGAAAAAGGCCTTTTATCTTCTTTTTTTTTCTTTTCTTTTTTTTTGAAAGAATCATCTGTGTATTGCCCTCAAATCTTTGCCGGGCACAGTCAACATACCTTTGCAGGAGTAACCATCSCCTACATAGTTTTTCTTGCACTTGCATTTGTAACTTCCTATGGTGTTGCTACAATCAGCATTCTTATGACAGCTATTCGGTCGACTGCACTCATCGATATCTGTAACATTATCAACGTTCATTAAAATAGCTTTCAACAGATAAATGTCAAAGTGGAATTAGTTCTATAGATCTTTATTTGGAATAAAGACGTGGCCCTTATTTACATAAACACATATTTGTGAGTTCGATTTTAACTTTGTTAGCGATGACTGAATTAGCGAATCTGCATTTTTACGTGCATTATACTTATAGTGCTAGTAGTTTATGCAAGGGATTAATGAGGTTCAGTTAAACCTAGAGTTCGTTAATGGACCCTTCTCAAAAGCGAAGATGGATGCGAAGCTAAGATGGAAATACAAATAGAAATGCAGCAAATACCGTCGAGAAAAAGTGTGATTTATTTTGTATTTYCATGCACCTTAGCCTCGCATCCACGATACTYTTGAGAAGGATCCATTTGCCTGATGCAGAGAAGCCAAACAATMCTAATGTTTCGTTTCCTATGTCACATTTTTTCTCTTCTTTTCTTCTTCTAATTCCTAAATACTTTTATTTGGCTTAATTTTCCTTTCTTTACCTTTTTTCTACTTACTCTTCTCTCTTTTTCCTTATCTCATCTCCCGTTTTTTCAATATTTTTTATTTTATTTTCTCCTTTCATCCCGTCCCTGTAACTGTAGTATACAACAACACACCTACCTGYACAGTTTAGGAGTACTTTTGGACTTGCAGTTTCGTCGTAATTCGCGTTAAATCCAATCTTGCAACCACATTCATAACTACCTCGTTTGTTCTTACAAAAACTGTTGTTGACATTACTGCAAGAATTTTCCATTGAACACTCGTCTATATCTAGAAGCAAGAACGTAAAAACGTTATTTAAATCAAAAGTATATTTAAGACCACGAGAAAATACCTCTCAAATCTTCTGTATGGGTTATTATTCCATCATCCTTTTTGTCAAGGTACCTATTGGGTTGTACCCATTTATAGTCTTAAGTTAAGTATTTCTTTTTAAGAATAGACGCTTTGCAGAACGTTGGAATGCAGCTCAATTTGGAGGACATAACAATAGGATTCCAATAGACCTTATTCGTGGTGTGACAATGTTTTCCCAATTCAGCGTGACAAACCTCTGGGGGAATGAAGAGCTATTGTTTTGAAACCCGTCGGGATATCATCGTTATTCCTTTCGTATCCTTTGGGATACTCATGAATTTTTCGAAGAGTAAAAACAAAAGAAAATGAATCCCCTGGAGGTTCGTCACGCTGAATTGGGAAAACATTGTCACACCACGAATAAGGTCTATTCTCAGGAGATTGAAATGCTTTTGTTTTGTCCTTCAAATTGAGAAACCTTGACATCAAATGCAAGGGGACTATTATCTATAAGTGCGCCACCTCCGGCCAATTTTTCTCACATTCCCTACGTACCTTTGCAATAATTAAGACGATCGAAGTGAAATCCTTGGGAACAGACACATCTGTAGCTGCCTGGAAGATTTTCGCACACGGCTTGAGGAAAGCATTTATTGAAGATGGTAGAACATTCGTCGATGTCTAAAACGAAACAATATGAAGCAAAAAAAGGTTATGGTCAGCGCTTGTAAAATTCATTAAAAAAGATAAGATTYTTACTTGGATTATCTCCCACGCTATCTGAATGGGTAACAAATTACAGTCAATTGGAACCGTTCATCTTTTATGGGCGGGGGGGGGGGGGGGGGGGGGGGGGGGGGGTGATGGGATTTAGGCGGGGCCACGTAAAAAAATATGTTAAGGGGGGTTCACCCCAAAAATAATAAGCTAAATAGAAAATTCATAAAATAATTTATTCTGTTTTAATAGGGGGCCACGTAACAATTCAGGTCGGAAAGGGGTCATACATTTTTTTGCTTACAATTCACGACATCCCACCAGTTCCCCATTGCTTGTACAAAGTGAATTGTCCCTAACAGGGGTGTCTTATCTTTTATTATATAAACACCAGTGTTCTACGTGGAAAATAAATCTTTGCCCTTTCTCCCATCGCTGTCAACGCTGTGGACGCAAATCTATGCATATCCCCCGTATGCATATGCCATTAGTTATCCATGTGTATTRTCGGCGCTTAGACTATAACGCTGTTCAACTTACCTACGCATTCCCCAGCTAGGTTTTTCCTGTAGCCTTTGTCACACACACAAGCAAAAGAACCGTAAGTGTTYACACAATGTGAATGGTTAGAGCAACCTCCATTCTTTGGTTCAACAAGCTTGCACTCGTTCACATCTAAGAGAAGAAAAATGGCACCCATTAWTTACAAAGCCGACCTTGTTAGTACCCATGGGGCTCTTCAAAGATCCATAAACATGATGCATTATGGTCTAGGTTGGGTACCAACAGCACCGCATATAAGGCTTGACAATAATGATGGCACTCGCTGAGTTTCTTAGAAAACTTCTGATAATAAAATCAATTTTGAGTCAGCACCAGCAGACATATGCCGACAGAACAAGGAAATCCTTTTATACTCTGG